TGACAACTAATATTCTTCCCTCTACATTCATACGAATAAAAACACGCTCTTAAAAACGCAAACTGATTTATAATGAAGGCCCAAAGAGGCAGGGACTCAGAGCCACACACGGCCAGTCCGAAAATTATAACGGCCACACTCGGCCAGAGCAAACAGCCTACGAGGCTAGTCTCAAGGCCGGCGAAAGTCCAATACAAGATGCCATCGACATATATATGCTCGATAATTTCTACACAACACATAACTAGACTGTAAAGGTCTCACTGGGAAACAGGTCATACGAACCTCGGAACCTGGTAATTCATTGTTACTCAGTGTACAAAAGCTCTCTCTCACTAGATCAACAATGGCGATCTATCTTTCTCTCTCTACAATTCAAAGTAGAGACCAAGGTTGTAACACCCGTCACCTCCCATCTGGAGAATGGCGTGCCACCAACAATATGTGACGGTGCAACTCTGTGGTCTACGATGATGAGATGGCGGCTCCGGCTTAGTTTGTTTCCTCCTCATGTCTTAAACTTCTCGGACCAGTAACATTTCAACCATAACCATGAGGCCAAGTTGTGCCTCAAACATGACGTAGTGGCTTAGGGATCACAAGCGTAAGAAGTGACATCAAGGCGGTGATCAACCGATGATGACCATAAAGAATGGTGGTAATGACGGTAATCAGACCATGACACAAGCAAAGTAACCAATTGCTTAGGGCCTAAAATGTTTTTATGGTTTTTAGCTTAAGGAAGAGGGTCCAAAAAATTTTAAGGTTTTTTAGGTTAACAAAAAAGGGTCCAAATGTTTTTATTTGAATAGGGCATTTGATAATTATTGAGTCCACCACCAAAACTCACAATCTCCACCTTGTGTAGACTCTATCTCTCTTTCTTTTGCCCACTGAAACCTTGTCAGAAAGTTTTCAAGATCCTATTTCCTTCACCGACTAATCTTCACATGCACTTTCACCCTTTTCAATAAAGCTAAGGATTATGTCCTAAGGACTCTATATAATCCTCCGTTGTACATGCTCTAAGCATGTCTGCCGGAATAACTGAAGTATGTATCTTTAGGACTGTTACCATTCCATCTGCTATAATCTTCCTAATGAAATTATACTTCGTAGCAAGATGTTTAGTCTTCTCTCTGTATGTGAAATTCCTTGATAAGTAAATTGCAGTCTGAGAATCGCAATTTACTTCAATCACATCATTTCTTAGCTTCATTTTAGCCATATCCCTTCTGTAACTGCATTTGATAAAACCATATATTTTACTATTGTTGTTGACAGTGCCACCACCTTTTGCAACGAATATCTCCAACTCACTGTGTTTCCTCCCACAGTGAATACATAGCTGGTAATAGACCTACTTTTATCCAGATCAGATGCGTGTCCGAGTCACAATAACCTCTAATTCTGAAGTCTGTTTCTTTCGTGAAAGTTAAGTCTTACTTCAACGCTCCTCTTATATTTTTCATAACCCATTTCACTACTAACCAATACTCCTTTCCTGGTTTACTCATATATCTACAGATAGTCCAACTATGTATGCCAAGTCAGGCTTCGTTCCTACCATTGCATGCATGAGGCCACTCACCGCTCTGGAGTACGGTGCACACCTCATCTATTCTTCTTGTTCCAACTCCTGGTCTTTAGTTAGAGATTGTAATTGAATTGGGAGCCCTTCGGTGTACTCACTGTTCTAGAGTCCCACATGCCAAAAAATATTCAACACTTTTGCAAGATACTCATTCTGTGAGAGTGTTAGTGTCTTCTTTCATTTCGAATTTGTGCTTAACTGATCCTTTAGCTCTTAAACCGTTCTCTTCTCCTTTGATTCCATCAACATATCGTCGACATAGAGTAGTAAGTAGACTATGTCTTCAACCTTTGAGCCCTTTAGAAAAACACATGGGTCATACGCGCTTCTCAGATACCCCTGACTGATAATGAACGTATGAAACCAGTGGTTCTATTCTCTTGGAGATTTCTTTAACCCGTACAGTGATTTCCTGAGCAAACAAACCATATTTTCCTTCCCATCTGAATGTATCCTTCAGGCTGATCCATGTAAACTTTCTCCTTCAGTAATCCATGAAGAAAGGCCATCTTGACATCTAATTGTTCTAGCTCAAGATCGTAGTGAGCAACTGCAAAAAGTAAGAGAAAAACTGAGACGTGCTTGACTACCGAAGCAAAAATCTCATTGTAGTCGATCCGTTTGGTTTGAGAATAGCCCTTAGCCACCAGCCTTGACTTGTACCTTTGATTTTCTACCCCAGGGATTCTCGGCTTAAGCTTATATATCCACTTACAACCTATGACCTTATGATCATTAGGTCTTTCTGTGGTGTCCCAAGTATGATTCTTTTCCAATAATTTCATTTCCTCGTATGATGTTGCTTTCCATTTCTTCCACTCTTTGCTTTTAGTTGCTTCGCTGAAGCTTTTCGGTTCTTCAATCTCAATAGCTTCTACCCTAGCCAGTGCATACGCTAAGAAGTCAATATATTTGAAAAGCTTGTGGTCTTTTAAGGATATTCTTTTAGGTGGACTTTCGAGTAGGAGTTCTAAGTGTCCACATAATTTCGAAATAAAATAAGCGATAAGAGATGCTAGAATTTGTATCAAATCTAGAAATCGTCATCATCTTCCCTAGCCATGCATTTAGGGAACTCCTCTTCTTGTTGTTTCATCTCTTTCCTTTTATCCTTACTCTTCTTCTCCTTGTACGTGTTTTGCGGGAACCTCAACACCCTTCCTGCTTCGTTGTGCATGTTAAAACAGAAGGAAATAATCTAGTTAAACGATTCTGCGGCTCGTTAGTGGAATAGATGTCACTTGTTTCGTTTGAGACCATACAACCCTTCTGGTTGTCGATGATCGCCTTGATTGCTCCGACTCTTATCGTTTTAGCCACTATGTTTTCTGCATCTGCTACCAGGTTTGCAGAGTTTAGCCTTAGCTTATGGACGACGTTTGTTAGACAGATTCTTGAGTAGGAAATGTTGATGTTTTGTAGTCTTTGTCTGACTGTGTCGAGTCTGACTATGAGGTTGTGAGTCTTGTCTTTAGAAAATGTCTTTGCAAAACCTCTATTGGACGTTCCTGAAGAGCTCCAAGTCATCAAATCTCACTGCCTGACAAAATTCAAACATATTTTTAGTATGAGATCCTTATTTTAGAGTTGTTATTATATCATGCAAGCTCCATCAAACTCAATTGTATCAATACTTGTAGACGTTGATCACTATAAGGTCAAGTAAATTTCCAAATATTAATTACCTCCTATATGTTAAATACTTTTTCAATAGAGATGAATATACATTTGCTAAGCACTTTATTAAATAGTGTACAATACATTGACAATAAAAACATACAATTTACAAAACTATTTATGCGTTTTTCTCTCCCCTTGGCTTAGTACAAAATTCATGATTCTGATTTCTCTCTCTGTGACAGAACTAAGCTGCTCTTTGTTACTTAACACAAGTTGGTGATGAGTAAAATAATGCACGCCTTATACTTAGCCTCCTGGATCATCAGCTTCTTCAAAATTAAAAATTATAGATTCACCATAAACTACGTCCCAATCACTCTAATCATCATCCTCCGCATCATCTATCTCCTCCTCGCCATCTTCACGTTATCATCATCATTCTCCCATTCTGATTCATTATATGACAGGGTCTTTGCAGTCTCCAAGAACCAGTAGGTGGTGAATGAAGTGAAACCGAGAAGCACATGCGTACTATGTGAAAGCAAAGAGATATTAGGATTGAGACCACTTACACGTTCGCTCTGCATCCGCTCTATAGTTTTCAAGTTCAGAGATATGCTGGCCAAGTGTTTGCAATAGTCATCACAGAGAAACTTACATCATCAAAATCTGCAATCAACTTTAAGAATATAGAATGCAATTTGGATGTTGAAGTTCCAGGAGTTTCAAACATCATGGTGATGCATTGGAATTGAACATTTCAATGTTTTTGCTTTTGTGAGAAGATTTCTTGGTCTTAAGCATATGGGTATCTGGTAATTCTTTCCACAGTAATAAATAAGAGAAAATCCTTTGCGAACCTTTTCTATTGCCACAAGAACTCCACTGCTCTCGTATTCTAACCGAGCTGTGTCCTCTACAAACGCAAGACTCTTCTGCTTAGATATAAGCTTTACCAGGTCTCTGTGTTTCCAATGCAGATGCATATTCTCGATGACCCCATCAAAAACACCATGGATACCTGTAATGAAACGGTTAGTTCAAACACTGGTATAGTTCCAAAGTTGGATGGTCAGGTGGAATTTGGGGCATTCCAGAAACTTAGAGATCCAACTACAAATAAAAACAAGCAGTCTGATGCAACATTGTTTTTTTTCTTTTAGTTTCTATTTATTTCATTTTATTTAGGGGGTACTGTAAGAATCTTGATTTAAATAGCAGCCGTTTCTTTTACTCTTTTTTGTTCTTTATCAAGAGAGATAATCCTCAATAAACATAAACAAAACAGGTATGAAAGCAATAATTGTAAACCACGATCAAAGTTATGGAAGCATTGGTTTATACGTTTTTCTTAGTATCGACTTAAGGGATCATTTTCGCTATTTTTCAGGAATCGTCTAAAATTTCAACAAAAAGATGCAGCCTGCAGTCCAAACTGAGGACGGATTTTTGGAGTTAGCGCACCCTTTCGGGATCGCTAGTAATCATTGATCAGCCATACGGCGGTGAATTTGTTCCCAGGCCTTGTACACATCGCCCATCACACTATCGGAGCTGGCCATGCCTGAAGTTGTTACCTTAACCGCAAGGACGAGGGTGCCGAAGGCAGGGCTAGTGAATCAGTTATAACTATAGAATACCTCTGTTTCGTGAATTCCATGGAAATCAAGCGGGTAGCTTACATTTTCCTTCTTATGCTTTCATTTTAATTATTTCAATTTTAGATTCAAGTTAGTGTTTTGTAACAAAGAAAGTCACAAGTAATATATTGATATGGCTACTGGACTCTCGCCATCTAGGGTGCAGAATTCCACCATTTCGCCTAGAAACACGATGCTTTTATTGCTCTCCCACAACCCCATTTTAACGGTATACGCTGCTCCCATTTCCCTCGCCACTACTACGGAAATCGCTTTTGCTTTCTTTTCCTATGGCTACTAAGATGTTTTAGTACGCCAGGTTGTCTCTTTTCTTCCTATAGTATCAGCAGCAGTTCAAAAGGTTAACATATTCAGGAATCTCCGGATCTACGCTTATTGTCAACTCCCCAAATCATTTTGTCGCTTATTACGCCCTTCCTCGTCTCTTGGTGCCTAGGTATCCACCGTAATCATTTTGTTGTATGAAGATCACCCTTAACTTTAAGTAACTGGTACAAATAACATACAGAAATGTAACGACGTTTATTGGAAATTAAAAAAAACATTAATTTAAATTATAAATTTGACTGAAAAAGTTGACTGTGGAAAGGTTAGCATAACTGAGAGATCAGAGAAACGATATAATCTAGAAAGGTAAAATAACCAAGTGATATAAAAGAATAACTACTAAAAGATAAAACCTGTTGGTAAGAATGTGCCTCAGATCTTGGCGCCTTTAATCTCAACTTATCTAATTGGTCATAAAGGTTGTAGTGCAGGTAGTTGCAAAGCAGGAGATTCAGAAGTGTTTCCTGCATTCAGGAAATTGAATATTCAATAATCAAAACAAAAGCTGAAACAGGAAATTCTAGTGTTTATAACATTTTTCAAAAAACGTACCTGACCTAACTCATTATGATGCAGTGTTACAGAATGGTACAAGGACAGAAGATTACTGCAAGTAGATGTAAAATTGATTAGTTAATTACATGTTGGGTCAATATACTAAACTACAAATAGTCAGTGAATTACCCACCCACGAATATCAGCAAGATCATCAGTCATCTCATAACTCAAAGAATAGTAAAAATACAATCTTGGAACAACCTCATCAGGCGAGCAATGGTAGCTGAAAACCAAGCTTTGGCCTAAAGAAGTAAAATAAAAACACTTTAGAACTACGACCACAACAAGATTAGTTAACAAAGTATATATGTCAACAAAAACTCACAGGGATAGAGAAGTAACCTTGTTGTACCTTTTCTGATCAATGAAATATAGGCAAGTGCTTGGAAATACAACAGCCAGTCTTCAAAATCAGCAAGGAGAATAAATAAATTCGTCATCTATTGAAAAAGAAATTAAAAAGAGTTATTAGGATTGCGAAGATGATATTCACAGAATGAAGGCTCACCTTTTTACAGTTAAATAGAATTGCCTCCTTTTTACAGTTAAACAGCATCATCTGGAAGAGAGGGGAGATGCATCGAATGAGGAATCACTATTAGAGTGAGTCAAATGAGATAAGACAGTTGCTATGGCGACGAATCAATACACCTAATAACAGTTTCAAAGTGAAGAAATCTTGACGAAACGACGGCAGCTTTCTCCAGAGATACGTCATCAAGATTCGTCTCACATCACCCTCCCGTAACTCCATTGCCAATCTAATTATCCAGAGCTCGAAGAACACGGTGAACCCTACTGATGGTCGCCTCATGAAGATGGTGAATATGAAAATCAAACTACGCTTTTGTTTTTATCAATCCCAAATTACAAACATCCCAATCCCATCAATTTAAGCTATGAAGGTCCAAAGTTAATCCATACGAAAATCATTTAAACTTCATAATGAATGGACATGTGTCATTACCTCATCATCCTATTTGATGACATGGCTTCACTAGAAAAAAGGAAATCTACTTTATATAATAAGAAGGCTAGAATCAGAGATCAAGTACTAGGTAGAGTTGATTGGGTTATAAGAGACAGCAGTGGCTGCTACAAAGGTGCAGCACAGGCGAGAGGAAAGTTAGTTAAAAGTGCTTTGGAGAGTGAACTACATGCTATATTGATGGCTATACAACATGCATGGAGTGGAGGTCACAAACGAGTTATCAACTAATCATTGAGAGTGATTGTAAGAAGGCGGTAGACATCCTCAACAGTAACAAACTTCACTTTGACGTTTACAATTGGAAAAGAAAAATCATATGGTGGAAAGAAAAGTTTGATGATCTATGGTTTGCATGGATTCCTCGTACTTCACATAAAGTGGCAGATATGCTCGAAAAAGAGAGAATCCAAGATGTATCATTTTATTTTCATTAGTACATTCCTAGATTCATAAATGATGTATTACACAATGACTATGTTCACATTATTTAAGTAATAAGATCAAGTGTTATTAAAAAAAAAATGAAGACTAGGATTGGTCCGGACTACCCACATATATTTTGCTTAAATTTTAACTAGGTTACCACACTTTGCATAGGATGAGACAAGTGTAAAAATTACATTCATAGTGTTGTTTAATTCGGATTTCGGTCTGTTTCAGTTCAGTATTTTATTTTATAAAAATTAGATACCACATTAAAATTATATTTTATATTTACTTTAGTTTGATTCAGTTTATATAAATATTGCTTTTAGTTTGTTCGCTTTTATACCAAAACTCAAACTATATATATATATATATATATTAACATTTTATCAATTTATTTTTTATGAAAAAAAAATTGAATTTATTAAACAATACTCTAATTTTAAAATAGAATATTTCATATTATATTAACTATTAAATATGGTAAGTATAATAAAAATAATTATCACAATCTTATAAGATAAAACTAAAAATGAATAATAATATCATTCTTAAATAACTAAATTTTAGAAAAATGAAATCCCTTACTTTAAAATAACAAATTATTTAAATCAATGTCTTAAATACCAAGATCATATAGTATGTTTTAAATAATCAGTTTATCAATTTATATACTTAACTATATATGTATACCACAGTTTTTTAAAATAACATCCATTCGGTTTATACGATATTACCAAATCCAGTTGATTTCCTCTATTCTGATTCGGTTTTTTTACCAAATTTAACACCCTTGATTCAAAGTATTTTTTTTTATTTTATAACTAAACCTAAAAATAACTGTTAAAAGTAGATCTCATCTTTCAAAGTACTGAATTAAACGTAATATATAATGTTTAATTAGGGATGGCAATGAAGGGACTGGACCGCGGGCCTGGCCTGGGAAAGCTTGCTGCGGGACGGGTTTGGGCTGGCATTTAGGAGGCCCATATAATTTCCGGCCTTGCGGGCGTGAGCTGTGGCGAGATGGCCCAAGAGCAGAATGAGCCGTAGGATGACTTGCGGGCTTTCAAAGACCCGCAACCCTAGCTCCTCATTTGTGCTTCAAACTGAAAAAAAAAACAAAAGAGAGAGAGATCAGAGGAGGCGATTAGGCGACAGTCGATAGCAGTTCGCCGAGAACCTCTGGAGCTCCGTTGACGGCAGTTTGAGGTTCGGTTATGCTTGGTCTCCCATGGGTCTTCGATCTCCACCTAAAAAACCCTTAAGTCGATTGTTTGCCCTTTGTTTATTTTGTGGGATGAGATGATGGTTTGATTGAGAGATTGATTGGATTAGAACACCACTTGGAATGATGATGAATGGATTATGGGAATAGAAGTCGAGATGATGATGAAGCTTCAGTGAGGATCTATGGATTGATCGATCACTTGTGTAGAAGAGACGAAGATTGTGCAGGGCACCGCACATGTATGATCTAGAGACGAGTTTGCCTTCGAGGATTCCTCCTCTAGCCGTCAATGTCCAGAGATGAACAAGGGATTCACCGTTTGTAAGAGTTGTTTAAATAAAAGAGTGAATAGACTGATCAAAGGCATAACAAGAGTTTATGTAGAAGTAGAAATCGCCTAAGACTTATTGGAAACATAAACATAGACTAAGACTTGTAGAAAACGAGAAAAGAAAGATAGGAAAACTAGGCAAAACCGAAGACTGGATGGTTGAATAACTTGGCTTGGTCTTGGTCTTGATCTTCACTTGATTTCAGTTCTGGTTTAGAGGAAACCAAACCAAAACAAAAATTACCTTCTCTAATTTCCTGGTTTGTGATCGAGTAATTGGCCCTTTAGGAAAATAGAATGGATCATTGGAAAGACAAAGTTGATTCAGTTCTGGTTTTGGGACGAGTTCCATAAGTTGATCCAGCTTGGTCCAAAGCAGTTCCATCGCCACTCTCATTCAGCTCAGCTCGTCGTAGTATAGTGTCACTCAGCTGTTCAGGTCATCCACTCCTCCTGGTCCGAGGTAGTGTCACTCAGCTGGTTCAGCTCATCAGTATCATTCAGCTGGTTCTGCTCGTCCTGCTCCAAGTCAGCTACTCGTTCGGTCATAGTTACATCATCACCTCCTTCTTTGAAAGGATTTCACCCAAATCCGGACCATCTGCACAATAAGGAATTAAAACAGCAACATTGAAGGTAGGACTCACAGTATACTTATCTTGAAGATCAAGTTTGTAAGCATTGTTATTGATGCGTTCAAGCACTTTGAATGGTCCATCAGTCCTTGACATGAGTTTTGGAAATTTGGCTGAAGGTCACATGTTGACAAAATATTTGACCCCAACAATATTAAAACAAATCGAACCAAAATGTCTATATCAGCGACATGAACATGTTTCCCTCAAGTAAAAAAAACTAGAAAACAGAGGTTAGAAGTTCCCATAAATCTTGAAGCAAAAGGATGATAATACACAATAAAGTAGGAAATTTTTGAAGAGAAGTCATCCACTTGGGTCGGTCATATCATAATGGATGAGGCTTCGTCTCCTATGGTGTGTGTAAGCAGCAAAGGTGACTGCTCAGAACCAGCCACAGTTCTGGTTGAATTCTCCCTAGATTTACCCCAAATCACAGCGTAGAAGCCCAAGCTCAAAATCACAGATCCAACGACACTGCATATGAAGGAGGCTAAGTGTGACTTGGCATATAGAACTAGAACCCTTGTAACGCTATTAGATTTGATTCCTTAAATACATGAAGATCAATATGGATAAATTCTTCTGAGTGTGCAATTAATTAAGGATGATTGTGAAAGATATAGTACCTCCCTAAGTAAAGTGCATCACCGAGAAAGATAGCACCCATACCGACTGCAACGACAATAGACAATGGCTTGAACAAGGATATATAGACTGGACCTTTCAGATGAAGAACCCAAGTATGTATAACTGACCCCAACGACGAAACTAAGCCTCCCTGAAACAATGTGTTAAAATCAGCTCTGTGACTTCTTGACCTAACATACAAAGGTAATAAAGAATAGTGTTTAGAGATCAAGTACCTTCTAAAGAGAAGAGTAAGTGGAAGAAGGGCAAGTGTAGCAACGACATAACTGTAGAAGACAAAGACATAGAAGCTCAATCCTCTCATGGTCGCAGCCTTGAACAGTGTGTTAGATCCAACCGTAATACACTCCACAGCAATCATTGCAGTGAAAGGTACAACATCTCTGCAAAAGCATCTCCATGCCACCTCTTCTTCTATTCCTCTTGCCATAAGATCTGATGTTCAGACTTTCTAAAAATCTCAGAAGTCAAAGCGACTTCATCAGCAACCATAGTAATTAAACCCAACAAGTTTGCTAAATGCTAAATTAATTATTTTCAACTTGACCATACAACTAATATATATATATATATATATATTTTTTACAACTAATATATTAATGACAAAGGGTCCCATTTTTTCCTCCATAACATATGATCCTCGTATGTCCCTTTCCAAAATCATTGCATGAATGAAAGAACACAAAAAGAATATTTTTTTACTCGATTCTTATATAACCTCAAAATAACGAAACATCTTATAGGTAGAATATAGACACATATAAACATAAACAAGGACCATACTGTAAAGGATCGCTATTGATAAACGAACAGTATAATGATTCCACTTGCATCAGTCTTATCTTAATGACAATGCTTCATCTTCTACGACGTGTGTAAGCAACAAAGGTGACTGTTCAGAACCAGTGAGAGTTTTGCTAGCATCCTCTCTAGCTTTTCCCCAAATCACAGTGTAGAATCCTAAGCTCAAAATCACAGACCCGATGACACTGCCCACAACACATACATCACAAAAATCTGTATTGGTTATTACTGCCTTGAAATACATATACGATAAGCACATAGTACCTCCCAAGGTAGAGTGCATCGCCGAGGAATATAGCACCCAAGATGACTGCAATGACTATAGACAATGGCTTGAACAAGGATATATAGACTGGACCCTTCAGATGCAGACCCCATGTGTGTATAGCTAAGCCAAATGATGAAAGCAAAACTCCCTGAAAAAAATAGTGTTAATTTCTGAGCTTAAAAGATAGCCAGTCACAGCTTGAAGCAACATATAAGGTTTGATTCTCACCGAGTACAAGACTGCAGCAAGGGAAACATCCGGTTTAAGCACCCATGAAGTCAAGTTGCTTTCCGCAAAAAAACATACTGGTGCTGAGATTAGCGTTGCAAACAAGTTGTAGAAGAAGATTACGGTTATTTCTTCAGGGTATACCTCCATGACCTGAGTCTTAAACCACACACAACTATCAGTTTAGCAAGATATCTATATGTCAAGACTTAAAGAACAACCAAAAGTCTTTCTTCTGACTTTTTTCAAGTGTCTGTACCTGAAGAATATACCAGACTGATATAAAAAAGTACTGTGAAGCAAGCAAAAGGCCTCCGATCATCCAACTTGAATTGGACGAAGTCAAATGCTGGTCAAGCGAAATGGTAGATGGCGAAGATGCAGCAGTGAGAACTCTAGGGCCTTTATAGAGCACAACAACCAGTGCACCAGATATAGATACTATCGTGCCAATGATTTTAGCCTGAGTCGCAGAGCTACTTAACCTTACTTGTTCCATCCTATACGAAGAAAGCAGAACCAGTTAAAATTACATGATTGGATGATACTAAATAAACTACCTCGCATCCATTAATTCTCTCAGACAAAATGGGGGTGCAAGTTTTTCTTATTCAACCAGGAGGAGGTGCTTATACATATTTCTAAACCAGAATAAGGAAGAAATAAGATGCCAAAAACATATCTTGGTCATCAGCCTACAATGGAATTTACCAGTTGCTAATTTAGCAGCTTCCTGAAACAAAGGAGGAGGAGTAACCTGAAGATAATGGCGAGCGTGAAGGTAAAAGCTGGCGTGAGGTTGCTGATAGCAGAGGAAAGAGTAGGAGAACTATATTCAACTCCTTTCAATCCAACTAACCCCGACATGAGCCTGTTCCCTCCAAATTTAAAAATCGGAAATGCTAAATAAAGGCCATAAATCTAGAGTTATATAGTTACCCGAGAAGCGCAAGAAAGAAAATCTTGACGAAGACAGGAAATTTGGCTGAAGGTAGTCTTCTTGACCTGCCAATATATGTAGATCATATTGTTGAAAAAGGAATATATATATATAGGGAAAGATTAGTTGAGAAGATCTAGTACCTTCCAAATATAAGGGAAAGTGGAAGAAGGACAATTGTAGCAACAACATAAGAGTAGAAGATATAGACATAGAAGCTCAATCCTCTCAAGTTCGCAGCCTTGAACAGCGTGTTGGATCCAACCATGACACACTCCACTGATACCATCGCAGCAAACGGCACAACATCTTTGCAAAAGTATCTCAATGCCACTGTCTTTTCTTCTGCTTCTCTTTCCATAAGATCTGTTGTCTATAGACTTTCAAAAAGTCTCAGAGGTCAAAGTGGGTTCATTAGTAATCATAGTTGTTAACCCACCACGTTTATTAATACATTACTTTATTTAGATAATAAATATTTCAACTTGACCAATATTCTATTATAAACCTAAGCAAGACCTTTGGACGAATGCGTGGATTATAAAGTAGAAGAAAAAAAACTAATATTTTTTGAACAAGGGAGGAGACTTGGCTGAAGGTAATCTTTTTGACAATGACACGCTTCTCAAGCGTAGACTAATCCAACGGTTAGGATTTGATACTAGGATATAACCAAACTGTGCACAAAAAACAAAGGATATAACCAAACCAATTCCAAACATTACACAGTTTGATGAAGATTTCGGTAACATTTGTATTGCGAAAGTGTTTCTGAGAAAATCATTTACAAGTGAATAATATAAAGATGATTCGCTTGCATCAAGCTTATCTTACTGACAAGGCTTCATCTTCTACAATATGTGTAAAGCAGCAAAGGTTATGTCTGAACCAGTCACAGTTTTTGTTGAATCCTCTTTTGCTTTGCCCCAAAACAGATATTAAACAATGTCTCACACTGGAAATTAGATAAAGGAGAATCTTATATATGAAGAGAATTCTAATTTTAACTAATACTAGAAATTTAATTTTTTATATGTTTGTTTAAAGTTATATTTTTGTTTTTCTTTGTATAATATGTTTTTAAATGATTAATAAAATGTTTTAAAATTAGTATTAAAATCGTTGGACTACACCTATATGAATAGGTCATATTTTTGTTTTAATAAAATAGAGGATGTCTTTTGTGAAATAAACCAAAAGTAAATCTATGTGGGCTAACCTCTTAGGTCTAAAATGGACAATATCGTACTAATCGAATTATAAAGAATTGTACATGAACTTACACAAACCCGATGATTGATATCAGAGCGGTTTGACAAAGATCTGCAAGAACACCAAAATACCTTGAAGTACGAATAGGATCCTTCAAGTCGGAAGAGGAGGTTTGTGACAGAAATTAGTCAGAAGATTATGAAACCTATGATGTTGTGGGAGAAATACTCTCAAAAGAAACCCTACGATTACTGGTACATGGCAGTGCCAAGATGAGTCGCTGAAGAAAAATCACACGAGATAAGTGTGGTCTTTAGTTTTGATTGGTATATTTATTTAAAAGACAGAAACAAAAATTGAATCAACTTATCTAGTCAATAAAACATATGCATTATTGTAGGAATTAAGTAGTGCGTGAATTAATCGTAATTTTGCTCGAATAAAAAAATTATGTCTTTACTATTCTTGAAAGAAGAATCCACATCATTTCTGCGATCAAATCTTCAATTATCAAATATAGTCTCAGACTAACAGAAATGTGCATATATGAAATACAACCATTATTAGAAAATAAGTAGTTAACAAAAATACTTCAACAGACATACCTTATTACTCATTTTCTTCAAGGTTGTTGAAAATTTCTTTACAAACAACATTCATAGTTTTCTTCTGAGATTTACCATCTTTTCCAAGAATCAATATTTTCAATCCTTTTTTGATGTCACTCTAGAAATTTCACATATAGCTGTCCATGTGAAAACACTGGTCATGGTAGGAAGTGTGAGAACCGAAATTCACACTTGTCGATTTCCGTTAAATAAGGAAACTTAGGAAACCCCTAATTTTCCAGAGGAACCGGATCTCTGCGAAAGCCAACGACAAGTAACCAAATAAATGCAGAAAAATATGAAAAACGTAATAAAATGAATATAAAGTAAAAGTATATCTTATTTCGATTTCGCGTAAGAGCGTTGCGATCATTACAAGGTTTTACAAAGGCTTTGGAAGCAGGATCGTCAGCGAGTTATCAACATAAAAACCTTAAACCTAATCGAGTCGCAGCTCGATAAAAAAAACACGGAAAAAAATAAGAAAAAAAGATTTGATTGATTTCGGACTGAACCTTATGAAAGGCTGCCTACGTACCCCTTTCGGGGATCAAGTCGAACGTAGTTCAGTTGATAGATCTGGACCAGAGATCGAACCGCCTAGGCGAGTTCGTCTAGTAATTGAGCGCCAGTCATAGAAACCGAACTTGTCGAGAAAAAGTCTAAGTTTCTAAGTGTGGAAAATTCTAAGTCTAGAAAAGTTGTAAAAGTCTCAGATGAGAACTCTGAATTTCGTCCCTTTGCTTCTGCCCTATGCATCTTGCTTATATACTCCCTTCCTAGGCGGTTTAGTCTTTCCATTTCGCCCAGATTCAAGTTTATCGGGAATCTTCCATTTTTCTTGATCCTTCCTTTTTTCCCGCGGTTATCTTCTATTTATATTCAAACTTGCCATTTATCTTCCTTCTGCGAGTAAACCATCAAAGCGTTATCGTATCATCGGGTTAGATTTCGTTAAGATAGCGAGATGGCCTTTTATCGCGTTTTAGGACCTTTCGGGCCGTTTTACGATAAATTCGTTTTACGACTGTATATGAGATCATTTCCTGATCTGATGCCGTATTTAGTAAATCCCCCGAGTTAATCGTAAAGTTTAGCTACGTTCGTTTCCCGGTTAATCATTGTCGTTTTTTTCGATTTTCTCGACGTTTTTATTAAAAACACGTTTTTATGATTTTAACAAAAAATCTCGAATAAATCGTATAGTTTAGGCAATGTTCGGTGTTTCTTTTAACCATTTCCGTTTTATACGATTTCCTCGATTTCTTTCCGAGAAAATAAAGTTTTACGGTTTTTATCGTAAAACTCGAATGATAGGTCGGATCGAGACGAAACGGGAGACATTTTGACCGTGGTTCGGAACACGGCCG